CTCAACAGTGGCAAACCACCAAAGAGGAAGACTCTAAATCTTTTACTGCTTTATATAGTGCAGATGCCACAAGCATGTACCTACTATAAAACTGCCTAGAAAATCTGGCAACTATTTCTTAGCTTCTTTTTTTCTGTTTGCTTTGTTTGTAAATACTGATGTAGGGAGCCTGAGTGAAAGAGGAAATACAGTACCATTAGTAAAAACACTATCATCAGCTTAGAACCAACCTCTTTTCATCATGATACTTCACTGCTTCCTGCTTTTTCAGTCCAAACTGGTAACTGAGTTAATAGTGCAGAAGATCTTCAAGAAGTATGAAAAAAATGAGATAAAACTCCACTTTTCATGACATAAAGGTAACTTGAATTTCCTGACTCCCAAACTTCTGGTCTGCTGTTTTTCTATGAATGGTGTTGGTTTATGAAAGCTTTTATGAGTTGTTTCAAATACATTACATGTTTTAGTTCTGCCCATTCATTTAATGAGAAATGCTGGATTAAAAACATATATATTTCAATCTTCACGCTGGGTTTCATGTGTGGTTTGGTTTTTCTAGATGTTTTGGGGGTTTTTTTCCATCTAGGACAAGGTCTATGCACAAAATCCTTTTGCATTCATCTAAAATTTCTGCCAGAAAGCAGCATTTTAATCTGCCTTTCATCTAATATCAGGTTCACGGTCTGAATGTCCCATACACATCTTTGTATCTTATATCTGATAAGAGAGCTCACGTTGCCAGATTACCAGGCCCCATGTAAACACCAGAGATATCATATCTCACACACATGGATTCCAACACAGAGCAGTGTTCCTGTACACACAGACTCTAACACCCCAATTCCCCACACATTCTTTGCATCATGACATCTTCCCAATCTCTTTTTCCTGGCACCTTGGTTCCCTTGTAATGAAACTGTGGTTTTCCAACCTTGTTCCACCAGTTCTCCCTTTCAACCTCTGGTCTTTTCAACCTCCCAATTGGAGGCAAAAAGATGTGCAGGGGGCAGAAAAGTGTGCAAAATCTCTTGCAGAAAGTAGTAGAACAGGGGTGGAGACTGGAATAGGGAAAAGGAAGAAGGTATGTTGCACAAGAGCAAAGGGAAGACTTTATGCAGCTGTGGGCTGCTTGTAATAAAGGTAAGGTTGGGTCTGGCCCAAAGTATTACAGCTTTGAAATACCAATTTTAACTGCTTCAAACCATTCTTGCAAAAAAAAACCCTCTCTGGATGTTCCTTCACTCCCCATTAATACCCAGGCCTTCCTATCAGAGCACTGCAACTCAGAGGAACCTGACCCTTTTTGGCAGCAGCGTGCCATCCCACCACTTTCCCCTTTAGGAAACACCTGCTTAGGCAATCCTTGTTTCTCTTGATTCTGCCACAGTGAAATATCCCTAAAAACAAAGCTACAAAGGAATGTGGTGTGACTACATGTGGAAAGATGCCATTTCAACACACAACTGCAATGCAGGTTTTGCCAGCATAGGGTGGCAAGAGATGCTCCTGTTCCCTGTCCTTCCTGGCTGGTTCTGTACTGAGCAGGGAGTGCTTCAGACCACGTTCACTTCCCCCTTTTGCCTACACTGCACCCTGCCCGGCCACATGAGTTGTAATTAGGTCAGCAAAGAGTGTTATGACTCATCAAGGAAAAAAAAAAAATAATCCAAACCAAAGCAACCACTGCACTGAAAGGCTGAGATGTTTTTCTACCACTACCAAGGTATGAATAAACTCTTTGTTGCTGTACCAGGATAGTTGCAACTTTGGGTTTTTTTTACTCTTCTGCTGTCTGTGATCTTGATTTTGCTGCTGCAATATTTATTGCAGGCATGCTATGCCTACAACACATAAAAATGGAAACACAGTGCTCTAGTTTATCCCGGGGCTCTTTGTTTTAGAACACAGTATGAAAATATGAATGGTTTAGAAATAAGAGTTTAAAAATACAACACTTCAAAAGAAAACCCATGAGCCTTGAAGTAGCAGGATGTATCAAAATTGCACAATTAATCTCAGCTTCTCACACTTAAGATTTTGACCAGGTTGGTCCAAACACACATAACAAACCTGAAAGATGAAGTAACTGCTGCTTAATCCTAACCTCTAGGAAAGAGCTACTTCAAGGTCAGACAGAGTTATGGTGGTACAATCATCTCTCTTATCCTGCCACATACCTCTGCAGTTGATGACTAAGGTGAGTTTTAAGTGATTCTCAACTGGCCTGTACCAATAAAGGCAGCCTCTCAAAATTTGCTATTATGAAATAATTTTGTTGTAATTGTTTCATGTCACTTCAAGGAAAGAACAGTGTCAGGGCTTAGTGAAGAGACCAAGTGAAAAAAAGAGTAAAAGTACAGTAGGCACCAAAAGGGGGACAAATAGGAACAGGAATGTCCTTTGAAGATAATTCACTGCTTTGAGAACCAACTTGCATTTTCAGTCCAGCAAGGACTCACACACAGTATTCTAGGTACAGTCAGTGTGAAAATATCTGCTGTCAGCCAGAGTTAGGTCATAAGAAACTATGTCAACAGGGCATGTCAATTGCTGATCTTCTACTTGGACAGAAAGCCCGACTCCTCTTGCCTCTTGTGGCTGCTCATCTCCTTCATTTTTAGAGCACCACCAGCTGGTTCAAATTTCTGGCAAAACCAAAATAGCTTGGATTATTTTCAGCAAATCTCAATAAAGAAGTTTAGCCTTGAAAACTGACTAATTTGTATGCCTTCCTCAGACCTGCATCTAGCAACCACAATCTTGGATCCTTTGTGTGTTCCCCAAACACAGTATCAAAGCAAATTACCCATTTTAATGCAAAGACAACATTATTAGAATGCCAGTGGAGACTATGTGAAGTTTTCATATAAAAATCAGGTCACATTTAGCTGGACACTTTAGAAAGAAGAATAATATAGATGATTGGTCTACATGAAGTTCAAGGTGGCCAGCCCAGTACAGCCAAGAAATCTGCAGCAATCAAACCAGTAGCTCAGAAAGTAACTGAACTGCAGGTCCTTGAAATGTGGGAGAAAACACAGGGGAAAATTTTCAGTACATCTCTCATGGGCTGCTGTCAAAGATAGGACAGAGGGTTGGCAGAACCTTTGCTTGTACTCAGTACAGTGGTTCTGGCACATTTACTCACAACCAACCAAAGTATCTCATGCTGCACTTCCTGCTCCTGTGCTAAGTGACACTGAAGCTTTGGGTACACATGTACTCCTCACCACAGAAACAAGTGAGAAAACACAGTCAGCTCTGTGCCCTGCTATTTTTCTTCAACATGCACCACAGGCACCGCACCATCATCTGACTCACTTACCAATTTCTAGATCTCTCCCATAATACAAACCCACAATCAACACAAAATGCTCAAGTCATCTGCTATGCAAGAAGGCCATTGTCTTCTCCAGTGCTCAAGCTAGTGAGACCTTCAAACATTATAGGTGTCATGGGAAAGGGCAGGTGTCATTTGTGTTCTCTTCTAGGAATGTCTCAAGTTCAAAGTACAACCACAGTAGGACTCTTCCACCTGCTCATGAAACTGCTAACAAAAAGCAACAAAGGAAAAAGCACTATTTCCTGTCTCTCCTGCTTATAATCTGACAAGGGAAGCTGGACAACCTTTAAAAGTTTACATGGCGCAAGTAAGTTGTTCCATGGGTGCTTTTCAAGAATAGTATTCCCTTGTAAGTGGCAATCCTTCCTTCCTGTCTGAATACTTTGTCAGACAAGATGAATTTAGACCAATCTCGAATTTAAACAAATGGTGACCCACACTTATTTCTCTTCTCCTGGTTGTTTTCTCCAGAGCTAACTTACCTGTAATATACCTGCTGCAGAATTAATGAATTAAATGAATTAAGCATTTTAATTCATGAGCATGAATTAAAAGAAGAATTATATTTCACTTTTTTCTTCACAAAACAAACAAAAATTCCACACCACAAATTGTCCTTTTGCAAAACAATGGCAATATTAAATTTACAAGGGCAATGTGAAGCTCAGTTCATTCATGTCTGCCCAGCACATGATAAGCAGGAATATAATATTAGTGCTGACTGTACACAAAGTAGGCAGAAGACATTTAAGGTGTTTACCAAGAAACAAATATGAAGAATTTTGAATTTTTTTTTTACCAAATAAACAAGTCTGTACTATCTGTCTTCAACCCAAACTGCAAGTCATTGGGGTTTATACTGGAAATGGGTCTGCTGAGTGAAAAAGAGTCTAGGTCTGCTTTCTCAACAGCAGACTATTTACTCTGTGACTATTTTCAGTTTAGCACTGAGATTTATCCCATCTATTTTTCTGCTTGGAAGCAAAGCAAGTACATAATTTAGGTGAAATTGCTCTTTTTGTTTTTTCTTCTCAAAAGACAATGTATTTTACAGAACAGAATTATTGTAAATCATTTGAAAATATCTGAACGATAGTAAAACAATATTTTGCCTAAAAATGGATACACATTAAAGTCTAACACTACAATGTAATTTGCAAACCAAATATTCAGATGGCCTTAAATCTTTTTCATTGGCAATTTATGTAGAAATAGATGTTAAAAAAAAATGACTGAAATCTGCACTCAATCCCATTTTCTAAAGTAAGAAAAGAACTTGAGCCAGATGCAGCTACACAATTGTTCTTTTCTGTAAGCTGTCATCTGTAAGGTAGTAAGGAAGTCTACAGACACAGAGAGCCTGAATGCTGACTTTGATGATGACAGCTGGCTTGATGACAACACAGAGATGGGGCTACTCCCCTGTGTTGTAGTGAAGCACGTAGGAGAGCATGAAGTGGTTTAGATTTACTAGATTGAATGCTGACTGTGCAAAAAGACCAAAATTATCTTGTGTTGTTCTACTGAACATGTGGCCTGGGAACAGAGGTCTTCACTTTACACAGAGGTTGACTACTCTCACTGAATGGAGGAAAAAGAAGAACATTCTAAAGCAAATCCCAAGGAGTACCCTCTTTGAGAAGCAGTGTTTACTCACAGATCTGTCACACTTTGATCCAAAGAGTCTCTTTCCATCTGACTTTCATTGTGGAGAGAGTCTGATTCTTGTACTTGGCACAGCTCCTCATCAGTGATTATGTCAAAAGCTGCATCATCTGGTGGTTTAGAGGCTTCACTTGCAACTGTGCCAAAAAAAAAACATCCGAAGAAACATAAACACTATTAGCTGGTTGCCTGGGAAACAAACAAGCAAACCCTTAAGCGGGAAGCCTGGACCATTCCTCTTCATTGACAGAAGTATTAGATAACTATTAGAACTAATGGAAAGTCTTGGGCTGACTGACAATCATTTAATATACACAAACATTTCTCTCAATACCAATCAAATCTAGAGACATGATCAGTCCCACCCTGAAAACACTCCATGACCTCCTGCAGGTCATTGGAGCTGGAAGTGACCATGTAGTTTCTTGGAGACTCGAAGAACCCTACTTATTTCTCCACAGCATGCAAACAATAAACTAACCAAAAGCCCTCTCAGATGGTGACACAGGTGATTCCAATGAAGCTGGTGATCCTTCCTGGTTGGCACTGGATCCAGAGTCATCTGTACTGTCCACAATGACTCTAGGCTTATTAAAGCAAGCTCTGCAGCAACGCTCCTTTTTTCCACCAGGCTTTGTCACCATGTAGTTGTTGCAGCAGTAGTAGCAGAAAATGCGGCCACACATTCTAGAAATGATTCAAAACCAAAGGTGTTAGAAAAGTACCACATACAGCTGGAACATATCTCCCTGACAGAGTCTGGGGCTCTCCCATAATGGTTGTGTTTTCTGCAAAAACATGAAAGCTACACCCACTGGCAGAACTCAGACCTTCAGTGCTCCTTACTGAAGTGAAGCAAGTCTTCTTGACAGGCACAGGACAGAAATTCACATTCACACTTTGCTACCTTAATAAACAGGTACAACAGAAAAAACTAAAAATACAAAAAATTAAATATAAAGATATAAAACAATCAAATGTCTACAAATATACAATGCAAATAAATAATATTTATATTAAGTACATAAAAAGAAAATTAACTTAACACTACACAGGCCAAATCTCACAGACAGGTAGAACAAAACTTGATTTGATTATATGGAGTTTAAAAACACATCTGTATGTCTCTGCTTCATACCCCTCTTCCCTTCAGAAAGGAAAAAAATCCAGTATTGTATACGTATGTGTACATTCATCCCTCCTGCCCCCTCCACTCTGAAGTCTCACAGTATTAAACTTGTCAACTACTTTTTAATGAGCATGCTGAGATTTCCATGAAGAAAATCATCCATCAGGGATGACAGCTACTCAGGAAATTTTAATGGTTTTGTTTTTCTTAATCATTTAGATAATTACTGGGTGAAGACACAAGCAGCTTTCAGAGACCTTAGCTGAAATGAGTAATTTCAAAGTTGTTACTCAAAATTACTTCATCATTCACTAATCCCTATAGAATGTTGTTTACATTCACATGAAATGGAAACAGTGTCAGTGCTTCCTTCTTTCCTCACATGAAAAATCAGTTTATGAAGATAAGGAATATTAAAGAGCCAAGCTAAACATACCACTACCCTGGACCCTGAAATGTATCCATTAAAATACTTTTAAATACTTTTAAATCTAGATTGAATAACTAATACTAACTCTAGGGGAAATAATCTAATATCCACTTTGAAAAAAAACAACAAACTACTCTGCAATAGTTAATTATCTCTGAACATAAGTAGTGTAAGAAAACAAATTTATAATGCATGCACATGCATGTTGAAACTTGTTCTGGAATACTTCCATCACAGTAGAAATGCCATTTTAGTGAATATTGTTCAGAGCATAACAGAAAAGTGCACAGTCCTTCAAAGAAACACACTATACAGGTGTGATTATCCTTGTTTCCAGAAATGAGAAACTAACAGACGCCCCAAGTCAGAGTTGCATCCAGACCTTCGTCTTAATGCATGTCAAGGGATCTTTCCAATAATGTCTTATCCCTTTTTAAGCTCATGGGGAGCTTACAAGCTCTACAATGTCATGTGTCAACAATTCTGATCAGTGAACTGTGAACATTAAGAAATATTTCCTCCACGTAGGCAATCTTACTGAGTTTTACTTTTGAACAGTGCAACACAGTTCAACAACTGACCTGCAGTGGTGTCGGCGCACCATCCATGAGAACTCTCTCTGGCAGTCCAGACAATGATTAACTTCTGTGTCCCCCTGCCACCTCTGCTCTGCACTAAGCTTCTGCTGGAACTCCAGAGCATCGGATTTTTGCCACAAAGCATCCTTATCTCTGCAGTGACACAGTTAAAAGAAAGGAAACACATAGAAGTTGTCAGTGTTGGTTTATTGTTAATCAACCTCAACTGGAATGCTGGTGAAAGCTTCACAGTAAAAATTCCTTTTCTCCTAAAATTCGGAGGAGCTTTCAGACATAAAGGTAGATCAAAAAACCTACTGAAAATTCTGCAAAGACAGGGAGAAGAACACATGCCATGCAGAGAACCACATATTTTTTTAAAACAGACAGCAAATTAAGGAGATATTATTGAGTGTTACATTTTTTGACTATATTATGGAAGCGCAAAATTTCAACTGCCAATGAATTTGTCCTTTACTTGTATCTTCAATTTGGGAATATAAGCCTGGATTACCTAAGCAGTGTCCCTGAACATCCTAAGCAAGTATTTTAATTTCTGCTTACTGTTCATTTTTATGCTAACCTGATAAGTTCTATCAAACGTTCTTCAAGGAACTGCTTGGTTCTTGTCAGGTCATCCAGTTCAGCAAATAACTTCTGGTCGCTACTATCTTTGTCTGCTGCCACCTTGCTGAGCTTCTCAGTGTAATCCAGGATCTTCTCTTTTGCTTCATCAGCTTCTTTTTGGATCCTGATTAAATACAAAGGCAATTATGAATAATTTTTAGCTCATGTAAATTTAAGTCCTCCCTGTGGAAAGAAGGGTTCCTCCACCCTGATAAACACGTCATTTCAGTGAAATTTTTCTCAGTGTGCATGTTTTTTAGAGCTAGACAGAATCTCCCCAGTTTTCTGCATCACTGAAAATGCACATAGATCCATTATCTAATAAACACAGCCAGCAACCAGCAATTTCTTGGATGCCCTGCTTATAGCAAAGCATATGATGGATACCAACTAGGAATAATACAGATGATACCAGCACAAAGATATAAAAATACATAGGCTTTGGTTAACCTATTGGACTCTGCGTGAGCCTCATGAAGATCTATTTCTGACTGCCATATTATTCACACCACACAGGCCCACATTACAGACCTTGAAAACACATCCTGAGTTAGATTACTAAAGCTGATAAAAAACCTGACCAACATGCAGGATGTGGTTGCATTCAGATAATTCTTACTGATTGCCTGAAACTTCATGAAGAGGAGAGAAAAAACAAACAGTCCAAAAGTACAAAATTTCCATTCCTTACAAAATAAACCAAATATTGTTTTAATTTTGTGCTTAACCTATAAGGTAAAAATACATTATAGAAATGTCTTTCATGAATTTATATTAGCTAAATTAACAGTACAGTAAAAACTAAACCATGCATTCACGTCTGCTGGATAATTTCCATGTTTCTCATCTGCCAATCTGATATTCCCTCCCAGTGCCCGTGTGCTATTTGTTCTATATAAATCCTGTGACATATGGTACTTCATAAACTATGACGATTTTCAATATGTTTTGATTATTGTCCCCTTGCTTGGCCTACAAAATAAAAGTTTCTGTAAAGAACCCAAACTCTCACCTTTCCACAAGTTCTCTAAGAGAAGTCACTTCCTCTTCCTTCTGCAGCCGAGCAGATTCTGATTCTGACAGCTGCTCTCTTGCTTCATCCAACTTTCTACACAAATTCGTGTTTGCAGCCTAGTAAAATTAATTACTGTATGTCCTTACATATAAAAACAAGACTTTACCATGCACAGGACAATTACCAAGACAGCTAACAATGTTTTAAAAGAATCAGGTACAGCCAAACAACTGATTAAGATATTATTGTATAAGCAGGCAGTAATTAGTTGTGTACTAGTGACTGATTACTTCTGTCACACTGAATAAGGGATACACGCTAAAATAAGACAGTGTTAAGCCTGTAATTCTTGTTAGACCATGTCAGTTGAGTTTTTGCCTCCTTATCAAGAAAAATTTTCCAAAAATAATGGCAAAAGAATACACCCTGAAAGTTTTCCACCACCTAAAAGCTTCAAATGAGAAAAATTAAATAGGAGAAAAATATTGTTCAATAAGATCATATGCAATATGAAGAACAATCGAAAACAACCCAACTTCTTTCACAGCTAGACTCTCCAGAGAAGTCTGCCAAACTTGGAGTCCTCAGGGAACATACCTAATTGCATCTAAAGGTACGTATTTCTCCTAGCAGGCAAGGCCACATCCAGTAATCTTAACTTTCTTCTTTCCAGATTCCTTACAGCTCAGTATGACCCTTCTAACTCAACTGTTTGATGAACTTATTGTAAAAATTCTGGGTTTTTTCTGGCTGGGTTATTTCTCAGCAACATCAATTCTCTAATTCAGTGCCCTTTTCAACCTGCAAATTGATGGACCTACACATGTGGCTGTACAGGAATGCAGGGCCTAAGAAAGACATATCTTAAACCCACACCCCCATTAAGAACAGAACACACACACCCAGGTCTTACATAAAATCTGACCAGCTTTCAAGGCAGGACAAATTCTAAGTGACATCATGTTTTTCATAATCTCTGCTTCAGTGGCTGTCAGATGCCCAGTATTTTGTCTGCAGCACCTTTACTTACACAAGGGCATTCTCAGACTCACAGCCAGTCATCAGAAATACTGCTTGCCTTCCCAGTTGTAACACTAATGCCTGCTGACACAAAGACCTCTGGTTTTAATTCAGATCAAGCACCTACTTGTAACTCTGTAATCTCTTCCTCCACTGCATGCTGTTGTCGCTTCTGCTCCTGAAGTTGCTCTCTTACTTTCCCACACTCCTCATTGACAGCCTGGTAGAGAGATTGAGCCAGTAGTTAATAATCCTCCAGCAGCAACCCCGTCACTTGCAAAGCTCCCAGCTGTGAATTATGAGTGCTCTTATTGCCATGCATGGGATAAATGCAGTGCCACTGGCTCATGAAAGACAGCTAAAAAAACATGCAACTCTTGGAATCAAGCAAACTCACTTTATGGTAGCACATAAACTGTGTTTTACTGTTATTTTGCATAGGCTGTTGCAATTCTCAACAAAAAGAAGGTCAAACCCATGCAGTGGCATAAGCTTCCGATCAACCATCAATCTTAGACATTTTATCAGAATGGTAAAGCAAACACAATGAAATATTCAGCCTTTAGGTGTGCTGTTTCATATACACAAGGCTGACTCATGCTTTTTTGAAAGCAAAACTTTGATCTTCCCAGCTGCTACCTTGAGCAGCTGAAAGCAAAAATATATGAGGGAATTAAACGCAAAAGCAACTGGTCTCAGTTTAAGATTCCTTTCATCAAAATCAGTTCTTAGGAGCAGTGTTACAGGTGTGAGGAACAGGTCTTGTAATGTTCCTACAAAAAGAGGAAACAACCACAGCTGCGACCAGAGGGACAGCAGATGCCACCTTCAGTACCAATGTATGAAATCATTACCTTCATGAGTATTGACTTGCTTTTCTGTATCACCTGGCCTCTCCACTATACATGTCCATAAAACTCTGAAGAGTTATTTTACCTCAGATAGGCCTAGGTCATGAGCACAGAGACATTTTCAGATTCCCAAGCTAAAGCTAGTTGCATGTTAGTCTCAGAGCCTGACCCACACAAACCTCAGGATTTCATGCAGAAATTGCTGCAGCAGATGGTAAAGCAGCTTCCTCAGCTATAATAATTACATTAATTTACCTTGAATTTTGTCTGATAATTTAGAATCTCTGTGCTCATTTGAAATTTTATTGCAGACAGCTCTTCTTGGCTGGTCTCTTGGAAACTCTGTGCCTGTTTCTTTATTGTCTCCAGCTGCAATTGCAGACTTGGGACAGCTGCGGCACACATTTGAGCCTCCTCTAATTTCTCTTGCAGGCTCTTGTTCTCCTCTCTGAGATTAGAGATGTCAAGTTTCAGCTTCTCCTGTTGCTCTGCTGCTTGTTCTTCCAATTCTTTGAACCTTTCTGTTGCCTGGGCCAACTGCTCTTCTGCATCCACCTTTTCAGAGGTCAAGGCACAAATCTGAATACCAAGTTCAGCCATATCAGTGTTCGTCCTGTGGAGGAGATCTTTATTTTCTTCATTTTCCACTCTAGCATTTTCCAAATAGCGCTTAACCTTAGACAGCTCTTCCTTTAGGTTCATCAAATTACTTTCTAGCTCAGCTTTTTGATGGGCTGTCCTCTCCTGCTCTTTTTTCAGCTTTTCTTCCCTTTCTTTACATTGCACCAGTTCTTGCACATGATTTCTGTTGAGAGACTCACTCTGCTCTTTCAGCTGCTGGACAAGCGTCTTCTGCTCACTTGAGACAGCCTCAGCGACTGCCAGCTCACTTCTTATCCTCTCTCTCTCATCGGTGGCCTGCTGAAGCTTGACTCGCAGATCAAGGACTTCTGCCTGCAGCCTGGACACCTCACCTCGGCTGACCTCCAGCTGCTCTTCACTCATGCTCATTCTGAAAGCCAGATCTTTTGCCTCCTTCTCCAGGGATGCCGCCTGCTGTAGCTGCTGTTTTTCCACAGATTCCTTTTCTGATGTGAGAGATTCTATAAGTTTTGTCTGATGAAGGCATGTCTTTTCAACACTGAGCTTTTCTATCTCAAGAGTCTCTGCTTTCTTCCTGTATCTTTCAGATTCTGCTCTTAGCTGTTGACATTGGCTCTCCATGCCCTGCAGTTCTGCTTCCTTCTCTGTGAGCTGTGACTGGAGACACTCTTTGCTTTCCTTCAAGGTGTCCAAGCTTTTTTCCATTTGTAAACTATGCTGTTTGGCACTCTTCAGCTGTGCTTCAAGTGAGGCATAAGACTCCTTGGAGGTCTCTTCTCTTTGCTTTAGTTCTTCATATTCTGAGTTCAGAGCCTCCAGCCTCTCCTCTAGAATTTGGCCTTGCCTCCTGGCATTCTGCAAGTCTTCATCAAGCTGTTTGTTCTCAACCCGGAGCTTCTTTTCTTTTTCATCAACTGACACCAGGGCATCATCTATCTCACTCTGAAGCTGCTTCTCAGAGGCTCTCAACCTGGCTACATTGGCTTCTAGGGAAGCCTTAGAAGCTTCCAGATTTTTCAGCTTCTCTTCCATCTTCTTCTTAGACTGTTGCAAATTCTCATTCTCTGCTTTCAGTTTTCTGCTCTCCTCATCCAATTCACTCACTGTAGAGTTTTGCTGCTCCATCTGCTCCTCCAGCTCCTTGACTTTCTGCCCGAGATGCTCCTTCTCAGACATGAGTTTCTGGTTTTGCTCCTGAAGGCTACACACAGTCTGACTCACCTTTGTTAAGCGACCCTCCTGTAGTTCAAGTTGCTCTGCTTGTGACTGGGATTCCTGTTTCAGTGCTCCTTCCCTCCTACCATACTCCTCCTCAAGTTTCTCTTTTTCTTTCCTGGCTTCCTCAAGTTTTTTTTCCAGTGAACCCACCTGAGCCAGAGACCCCATTACCTGGGTCTGGAGCTCAGCCACTTCCTTTCCTTTCAGAGTCAGGGCCTTCTGAAGTGCATCCTTTTCCTTTGCCATGGTCTCCAGGCTCCCAATCAGCTTTTCACTCTCTTCTTTGGAGTTAGCAGTGAGGCTACTGTATCTGGATTCCAGTTCCTTCTGTGCCTGTTCTTTCAGCAGCAGTTCCTCCCTTGCTGCCTTCAGCTGAGATGCATGTTCATCACTGAGTCTTTGCATATCTGCCTTTTCCTTTTCCATCTCCTGAAGCTTCTCTAACAGTGCCTGTATTTGTACAGCAGAGTCATACTGGGCTGTGGCTTGCTGTCCCTTTTGATCCAAGGCAGCATCAACTTTTGCAAGGAGGTTGAGGTTCCTCTGTTCTGTGGAACTCAGTTTGGCTTTGAGCTCATCAATGCAAAGATCCTTCACAGCCATCAAAGCCTTAGAGGCCTCCAGCTCCTGATTTGAAACCTGCAATTCTGAGGCACAATCTTCCTTGCTGGTCAACAGCTGGTCCACCTTTATTGAATGTTCCTTCTGCTGCTCCGCTGCACTCAGTTCCAGTGACTGTAGACACTTCTGCAGGTCATGGACAGTGCTCTGAGTGGAGTGTGAGATCTCACACTGCTTCTGTAACTCTGTGATCATCCTTGTCAGCCGGGAGTTCTCCTCACTGTAGTTATTGCTCTTCTCCTTTTCTACCTGTACTTGTTCTTTTTGAAGGCTGACAGCTGCCTGGAGCTCCTGGTTTTCAATTTCTAGCTGGTGAATGCGATCTTGAAGTTCCCTCTGCCTCAGCTCAGCCTGGTCAAGTTCTAAACGCATCTCTTCGTAGCCCTCAAGGTGTTCAACATTTAGTGAGTTATTTACATCAGGGCTGGAAGGAAACTCTTGTGCCTAAATGAACAGAAGGGGAAAATCAGAAAGTTTAAGTAGCATTAAATATTCATTTAAATGCTGTGCTCAAATGAGAGCAAGTTCAGGTTCTTAATGTACAGTGAAATTGCATGTTGCCTTCATAGCACTACAAGATACCAATTTGTAGGAAATGGGGCTTGTTTTCCCAAATGATAAGTGAAAACATACCTATCTGCAGGTAGCCTTCTGAACGTATATTTTTACTTTTACAAGATTTGCATGTTAAGTTGAAGCAGCTGACAGACAATTCCCTTTACTTCTAATTAAAAATGCTTTTTGCAGTTTAGATTATATGACTCATAACCATAATAAAACTATTTAGTTCTCTGGAACTATGTTAACCAAAGACCTATCATGACATATAAACATTTATTTGCAATTTGCTTACCTGCAAATAATTGCTCACTAAACTGCTCATGCTGGAACTGCGACTTGGGGGCTTCCATAAATATGCTGAAGATCCAAGTGAGGACAGAGTCCTCCTGTTGATCACATAGAGAAAGAGTATCTAAGGTAAGTCTAAGCACATATATATGTCTCCTTCTGCTTGTATATGTAAGATTTATCTAGTGGTAACTACCACATAAAAAAGGACATAACTGCACCTTCTGTCTCGGCCAGCGACCACTGAAGTTGACGAAATATAAGACAGGGATATCCAAGGCACCTCTAATAGGTGATGTCACTTCCCTCATCCACAAGAACCAGAGCAGCCTTGCTCTAAGGAATTGTACTGCTGTGTGGCAGCGGCTCAACCAGACGGTGGCAGCAAAGCGCCCTAGGAAACCCCCATTGATCCAAATGGACCTGAACCAGACCTGGTAGTTTTTGTTATCCCCCCTTGTAGGTGGGAGAAACACGGCTGCAAGTGATGCACACTGCTTGGCTGTGCAGTCACTACATGTCTCAGCTCTTCAAACAGAGGAAGCTAAGGAGATTTCTTCCTGCACCTGTTCAGATGAGATTGGGATTTGGGACTAAACTGCAGCTACTGGAAGTGCCATATTACAGAGCATAATCTCTGATCACTGGTGCTCAGTACAGTGAAGGAGAAATAGGATAATTTGGTCATGGATTAATTACATGGAAAAAGCATATACCTGCTCAAACACAAATATTCCTACCCTCAAAAGCAGAAGCTTTTACAGATCCATTAGCTGGCAGGTGTTTTATGTCCTTGTTAATACAAAATCACAGTGTAGCTCCATCTTACCTGGCAAATGCTGGCCAAGCAGCATCTAAATCATAGCCTCTTGATGCCAAGTCAAACTGAACATCAGTGAGCTCATACAGCTGACCCACAATGTCAGAACTCATCTTGGAATTCAGAAATGGACTTCTTGCATAGTACCAGTCACTTGAAAACAAACAAAAGAGAAGTAGTCACTCATAAGCAAAAGGGAAGCAGCAGTTTCTCTTACAAAAAAACCCCTACATCATTATTCACTCCACCTCAGAAAAACTATGATACAGTATTCAAAACACAAATGAAAACAACCAGATGCATCAAAAAAGATCCCATCCCTTCAATGTCAATGAAATTAAACAAACTTAATTAATCCCTCATAAATATCTTTAAAGGAGACCCTACACAAAATATTTTTTCCTCTAGTGCTTGGTCAAATCACTGACAATGCAAAATATTTGCTATACACTGGACAATCACACAGTAAATACCTAAAACACACATTTAATATATCAAAAATGAGGAACAGAAAGCATCATCCAGAAGTAAGTACATTGTGAAAATAGCTGTCTTTTTCTTAAAGCCCTAGCAGCGTCCCTCCAACCAAATACAAACCATCTTTGGAATTTCTTGGCCAAGAGCAAGTTGCTCCTTTGTGTGACCATCCACAGATATATGCAAATGCTGTCTGGGGCTTTGTGCAACACGTCCAAATTAATCCTCTCTCAGGATGAATAGCCCATCAAACCCAGGGTCTTCAATACTTATAAATACATCAACCTTGAAACTGATCTAAAGAAGCATCAGCACAACCCACTCCACACATATTAAGCTATAATAACTTTCAATCTTTACAAGCCCAAGATAGGTATGAACCAGTGACCCAGGCCAAAAGGTCTATGATCCTTCATATCCTATTACCACCTCTCCAAGCCAAACACTTGGAAGCGTTTCAATTTCTTTCAATAGCTACTAGGTGATGTTGCTTGATCACACTGAGCAAACATCCATTAGTTAAAAAAGCACTTGCTATTCACCTGGTCACTTTGGTGTTCATAAAACATTGCTGCAAGGTGTCTGCTAGCCTTTGGTGAACCAGGGAATAACGAAGAAATGCTCTTCCTTTTCCAAGAGAGGTTCGTAGCTGGAAGAGAGAAACCACAAGAAAAGAAAGTTAAATATCATTTGTAATCATGTAGACATGGTCAGAATAGCCTACAAAGCAACACAAAAATACTCCCAATAAGCCACTGTAAAGGAAAAAGTTGTAAAAGAAGCCAGTAAGAACTGCCACTCAGAAACACTTCCTAAGCCTGTCATTGGGTGGAATCTTTTCGGAATGATGAATTTGTTTCTACAGCTGGCTGCTGTCCACTTTATAATAATATGAAAGGCACCACAGGACCAATGAATCATCTAATATATGGAGTACCTGAGCACAGACTGTGCTAAGGACAATTTAAATTTAAATATAAGGCAAATCTCAATGTGCCCAGCAAAGGCAGAAGTGACTGCTTAAGTTACTGAAGATGTGTATGGCCACAGCTGGAAGAGCTTTAGGACAGATTTAGTCATAGAACAATGATGTACACATATATAAATATACATCCCCATGGACACAGTAACCCCAGACAATGCAAAAAGCCTTCCTTAATACTTAGCCATAAAGTTGATTAAAATCTAATTCTTTCTTCAGACCAAGAACAGCTGCATGACCAAAATTAATGGATCTTTTTATGAAGACAGCTGTTAAATCAACGTAAGGGGGATCGCAAAGCTCAGTGCTGATTTTTTTTATAAGTATTGATTTGAAAAATTGATACTTTATTTTTTAATCTGAACCATTTTCTGTCCTGCAAAATAGTGAAACAGTGAATAGTTGTGTTTCATTTCTTCTTCCCATCAAAGTCAGTAACCAATTTAGGAATGGAAAAGGAGTGTGATGAAAGAATTTCTCACCTAACTTCTCACCAAACTAACAAAGCAAACACATTTATGATTTAAAATAGATGCCAAGACAAATACTACAGAGGGTGAGCCACAAGTTAGTAGGTTACTATAAACTTTGCTTGAAAGGTTAGTGTGAAAGAAGGCTCAAGGGCCACACAAGCTTTCTTTCCTGCCAATAAGTATTCCACTGTGGTGAAGTGAGAGCAATACCCTCAGCTTCCCTGTTACTGCTGTTACTGGGCTTCTGCTCTGAAGTAACAAAGGTTCCTCATTTAGCTCAGTAACCCACTACATATAAAAATGTTCCTTATAAATGGAACCTGAATGAAATGTGAAGCAAAGAAAGCAACACTTTTTACTGATTTTTGGTTTGAATTCTACAGGATACAAAGTAGAAAATACCATGGTCGCTAAGCACACTAAGTTTCCCAGAAAATGCAAATTTAATTTCCCACCTGGTTTTCACGCTCATTCACCCTGCAGATCTGAACATTTCTTCAGGGATATGCTATCCCTACTCTGTGCACAGCAGCTTACAAGTGTTTTTTTCCTTACTAGGCATATTTACTGACTATCTTAATAACTTTCAAAAAAACCACCAAACCCTGGAAGCCACAGAATTAATCCTAACCTTATTCCCATTGGTTTATCAATTTAAATTGCTATACTTTCCATAAGCAATATGGAAAGACCAAAACAAAGGTACATGGTGAGAACTGGAGGAAAATATTTACATATATTCAGCTACAAGTAGCTAAAGGCTATTTGACTAGGAAACAAAATCATGCCAACTCCTGCTAGAAATCAGGAAGGCAGAGTGTCTGGTATTGACAATGTTCCTATGTTGACAGCAAACACTGTAGCTAAGGTGCAGTGTATGGCTGTAAAGATTTGGAAGGATGTGTATTCAGCATAATCACCTTTTGAAAGGGAAAGGGGAATGACCAGAACTCACTGCTCGCCTACTGCTCTCAAGAATAAGGCCCTCTGCTTAATTAACAGATAACAAGTTTCCAGGGTATTCTTATTTGCTTCCTTGCTCCACCTCACTAGCATATCATGCACTCTAATATTGGAAGCACTGCAAGCAGAGCAGAAGAGGCATTTATGCTGTTGAATGTTTGACTGTTTTTTAAGTTAACTGCTATTACTCTTTCCTTTTTGTTCATTTCCACATTTGAAAGTCAACGAATATTGTTCAGTAAGCTAAAAAAGGACATTTGGAAACCTTTATGTTCTATCCAGCCAGATTCAAAAATTTGCTGCTGATTTCTACCTGTGGGAATAATTCCCTAATGGGAATAACAAACATGTATTTGTGCCATGTGTCATTTAACTTCCAGGCCCAATTCTGCCAGCTCAGTTACCTGAAATAGATCACTGATTCTTTTTTTAAGAGTTTATATTTCTAAACCACAAGTTAATAAACATTAAAGAAGCCTTCCAGAAGATAATTTCTATGGCTGCACATAAACTGAAGTAGAAAATATCCTGCTTCTATAATTTCTGATGCTGTGCTAACAATTTAACGGCCAGAGGTATTGAAGAAGGAAAAAGCAGAGCAGTCTTTACATGGGGCAGTAGACACATGTAGTGATACCACAAGAAAAAGAGTGCTGAAGACTACAGCACAGCCACTGTCGAGCTACCCCATGACAGCCACCTTTGCAGATAAATGGCTCCTGAGTGGCTCCTGCTACTGAAAATTTAGGGCCCACCATCTGTAGTCAAAGGATTCTTCCAGCAGCAGCAGCTACTGTCCTTACTTCTCTAGCTGTCCTGTAGTGGGAAATCAAACCCAAATTTCTGTGCCTCTCCCCTCTTTTCCTTCCCACTGGTAAAACAAACTGGAGCCCTTCCTTGAACTGTTCACCTTGAAACAGCAAAATTTAACACTGTCAAGGTTGAGAAGAGAAAAAAGAAAAGTAGGGAACCCAGAGCCTGCCTCTGCTACAGTATCATGATTCTCTTTCAGATGGATCAAAACCACACTATCTAGAGCTGCTGTGGAAGAATTCCCAAGAGAATAGGAAAATCTGCTGTAAACAGTTAACTTGCCAATTTAAGTTAGCACTGCTCACAGATAATGGAAGTGAGCATCAGGACAATGCTGGCCAGCACCACGACATCACTGCCTCTTCTACTCACTAGGAAAATCTTCAAATAATTCTGAAGACTCAGACAGGATCAACACTGAAAGATTCTCACAGCTTTTATTTCACCCATGCATTGAGCTGAAGACATAATGTGGTTTTTACAAGATTAAGCTTTCATTACTAATCTAAATCTAACAGGAACAAGCCTTTTTGTGCTGCTCCTGACAGTTTACCCGAGGGAATAGTAACAATCATCCCTAGTCATTTCATCATGCTATTTCGCATAGAGGAACAGAATTCAGAAGATGAAATTACTGCTCTCAGTCAGTCCTCCTCAACTCTATGGACCAATTAAAAAACTGTTAAGAAAAGTCAAATATGGTAAGCCTTCCATCTTACACTTAGAGCCACATCCTGCTGTAAGCTTTGCTGAAGATGGCACACTCTACCCTTGACTTAATTTTTCATTTATTTTTAGAGAAAATGGCACTAAGTTTATGAAAATGCAGGCCACAACCAGAGACAAACAGGTCCATTCACTTGTGTAAGTGGTCTTTGAAACAGAAATCAGGCTTCCTAATCTCACATAATTTAGTGCCCTAGTAAAAAAGGTCAGTTTGCGTTTTGATACTTTATGTGAAAATTATTTTTAAAAAAATGCCCAAGTTTTTTGCTGCATATTAAAAGCATTTTATTTTTTTTGTTTGTTGCTACTGCTCTCTGAAAAAGCATGGCAAAACATAAACCACATATTCTGATGCTTAACTGATATACTTACTTCTGTAATAGACTTGACAAAGCGGATTCCATCATTAGCTCCTTTGATTTTTGCCAGACAGTCGCAGAAATAATCCCAGTAGTCTTTTCTGCTCCCCAGCAATGTGCTTTTTTCTTTCTGGTCAAACTTAAAGCAGGAAAACAAAATAAAATGAGCAAAATTTAAATAGAAATATACTTATATATAGCTACTTGGAATCCTGTTCCACTCCCACCAGCATGTGCTTTCATGACTCCTCTTAGCTTTAGCCAATGCATTCACAAAGGAAAGAGACACTGCACTGTACTGATGCAATCCAGAAGTTACAAAAGCTTCTTAACTGACAGTAAGAGATAATAATGTTCTGGGTCTGTTTAAAATACAGACATCCATTCAAAACTCCTGAGACAAAGACTGGCAGCAGATTCAGCAGCTGTTCAAGAGCAAGGCACTAACAACCTCTTGCTGAGAGACCTTCAATTAAGTGTGGCAGTAGCACACGTGTATGTACCAGAAAAACCTGCTCTAGCTAAATCATATTCAGAGCAGCAATGCAGCAAGGGTATGGACTGCACCTTGCACTATTCAAATCCCAAAGGATTTTTCAGTATCTGCTCTGCAACCCCATTCAAACACCCTTGCCTAGATTAAGGCTAGATTAGCATTTGTTGCAATCAGTGACATGATTATGGTATATGTGGACACCACACTATACAAACTGAACTTCAGTTTGCCCAGCAGTGTCCTCTTTCACTTAAACCTTAATGGTGGACAAAAAGTAGCCCTCCAGATTAAAAATCAGCCTTTTGCCTTAAGCCTTCCACACAATAAAAACAACTTTCCAAAGCAAAATTGCTGAAAATTCTATAAATTACTCACATCCAGTATTTATTTTGCATTAAAATGTCAAAGTATCATTAACACAGTTTTTTCAGGATAATTTAGTAAGATATATCTTTAAAATCAAGCTCAGATCTTTCAGATTAATAAAGAAATGCCTGACATTCCTCAGTCAAATTTCCAGCACTGCCTTTTGATTACATTTATTTTCACTTGAATTAAGTATAATAGACAGCACTTATTTCAGTCCTCCTATTACACACACCAAAATAAAATAGAAAGAGAGAGTCAACTCAATCAATTTATGATTTATTTGAGTTAAACCCCACATGCTGAAGAGTCAGCAAGAGAAAATAAGGCCAAGCTTTACTGGTGGATTACAAATGACACAAATTACTTCTTACCTGTAAAAGGTACTCAAGCTTGTAGGAGAATTTTTGCAAGTTGACACTGTCATCTGTGATCGGTTCACCTCCTTCTTTAAACTCTTTACTTAATTCAGTCACTGCATCTTTAAAACAAGACACCAAAACAGTTAACTAATTCAAAGGACACATAGCACTGAATCCATAAACAACTAAATAAATGCTTTCTTCATGGACATTCTGCATGTGGACCCTTCTTCTTTTAGCTGAAATGTCTTATGGACAGTACGAGAAAAATGACTGATAAGCTTGCAATTTGAGACCACCTATAAGAAAACATGAGTTCAAACTGTCAATCTGTTCTATGGATTATTTCTTTTTAAAGACATACCTAGCATTTCTGACACTTAGCAAAACCTGCTAACAGACAATTGCTAATTGCTACCTCAGCAGAGGGAAGAGAAATAACTTTTTGCTGTCTCATGTGGACATTAAGGTATTGCCACAGGACAAACAGAATTCTGATTAGAAGGACAAAACATGTAATCTGCTAAAGGGGATCAGCAACACAAGAACAGTCGTTCAGTCAGCACATTTATCTTCTCCATGCTTTATTCAGGAAGGTTCAGTTTGTGCTGGTTACAGACACAAATGAAAAAATAATTTACATAAAAAATAAGCATATAACAATTCCTCTTCTCTGAAATGTACACCCATAGTGGGTGAAGAAATCTCAAGTCTCTATTGTTCCCCTGGACACTCTAGCCCCAAAAGGATGTACTTCTCAGCATCAGAAATTACTGATTTTGAGCTTGCTTTCCCCTTGGTCTTATTTCATGTGACTGAGTGAGCTTTAGCTCCCAGTCCCACTCAATAATCTTTAAAAAATTAAAATTCCTTCTTGTTAGTAGTCACATAGATCTCCTTTTTTATGTTACATGAAGATCTAGATTTTCAGCTTTGGTGCATATACCTTTTATTTAATAAAAATTAAAAGGAAAAATATCAGAATCTTGGTATAGGCAGCTGATTAGACAGAAAGAGAGCAGAAAAACTGTTACGAATCTCATACCAATTCTGCCTGCAACAGAACTGTTGAAAATGAGGTTGGCTACTTCTAGTGGAGGACAGGTTCCACTGCAGCAAGAACAGCAGGCATAATTCTTCAGCACCCTTCCTCTGAGTCTCCTTTCTCAGGTAGGTTTGACCTCCTGGTTTTTTCCCCTACCCACATTAGCATCAACTCCACACCAGCTTCCCATTAAGGAAGGCTGAGTTTTAGGGCCCTTCTCCTAACTTCATATGAAGTCCTGTAGCAGCACAGCTCCATGCATGCCAATGAAGCACTGGCTCACAATGCACACCTCACACACATACCTTTCTTTGAATTGTGAAACTTATTTCTTTTCTTGTACGTTTAAATTTACAGAGGTTAAGAATTCAGGTCCTGCAGAAGGTACAGCACTTATCCAACAAAAAAAAACCAGTCACACTGCACACCTTGAATTATGTTGCTACAATGCTGCAGGAAAGAGTTACACAATTGAAAACACAACTCCTAATCTCTGTTATCTAAACCCTGGAGGATGCAGTCCAGCCTCCAGAATGTATCTGTCAGCATGGCACTCACTGTACCTTGTAAGTCTCTGATAATCCGCTGCAGCTGGCTTTCACCACTAGTTGCTGCCATCTTGGAAACAAAAGGAACTCCCCTTCTGGGTTGTTAACCTTTTCATCCATCTAGATAAAAACAGCAGAATTCATATCCTTGATGACCATTAGGTTGATGCTGATTATTTTTCTCTGTGACACCTGCAATTGTAAAAGTCAAAAATAAAATTAAAGTCTTTAACAGCTCAAATTAGTATAAGAGAGGTGCTTTGGCATTTTAGATACTGTTGAGTAATGAATTCCAAGGCCAACCCTTTCCCAGGAATCTCCTTAATATTTTCTTCTTGTTGTCACTTTCCATTTCAGTTATTTCTTCAGTTATATCTTTCAAAACTACTAGGCAAACCTCAGAGAGCAATTTTCTCTGGCTGGAGTTACAACACAGTTGGTAGTACAGCTCAGCTCTGGCTGGCATTTCACTCAATCTATCTTGTGACCCTGAGGGAGGTTCTAGTGACACGTGATTTTCCCTCCCCTAACCCTCTGCCAGATCTTCCCTATAGGCTGCAGAGTAAAAAGATAAGACAACTTTTCCATTTCAGAAAGACTTTCAAGACACAGAGTAGGCACAGGCCAAGGAGTCAAAAATTATGCATGCTTGACTCTCTGACACTGAGGCATATTTTTAATGTGCAAGAGCTGTTAAAATCTTTAGTACTGGAGCGTGATTTTAGCACAAGGAACACCTCTCTGCCCCTTCTCAGAACCCACTGTTCCCTACACATGTAAGACGACACCACTTTATTTTAAGCTCTGTTACAGCATCCCTGGCTGGATCAACATACCTTGCACCACCTTTGCTTAGGATAAATTGTACTTGGCACCCACAAAAAATCTTTCTTAAGGTAAAATTAATTAAAAGCCTCAAAACGCTTTACAGAAACAACCATGCCTGGGGATGCAATCTTTCCACTGCTAATCTGGGAACAATCATTCCAAGAAAAAAGCCACAGAGAAACTACATAGGGAATTTACTCAGCATCCTGTTCAAAAGTTGTTCAGAATTCTGTCTGCAGAGGTACAGCCAAAGTTTCAAGGAAAGACAAAGTACTGAATCTTTAAGAAAACTGCTGATATACATCAGTGCTTTTGTTATAATTCAAGCTGAACTGCAATTAAATTAAGTTGTAATTAAAATCTTACAAACTTTTGAATCAAATGTGATTAGGTCATATTATATCTTCTTTCTCTTTCCATTCTTTCACTCCCAAAAGAAGTAAATTGGCATGGCTGGAGTAGGTGTCTGGATTAATCAGACAGATCATCCTTCCTACTCTGTACATTAAGGTAATGCTAGGAAGTGATCCCGTACTCTTTTTCTGTTTGAAACAAAGCAAATATTAACAAAGCCATGAAGACAGAAGCATATTAAGTATAAAGAGAAGGCTGAAACTAGGCTTACTCGTGTGGTTCTGTGCATACCTGTGCTTTGTTACATGCTAGTTTCCATTTCTATGTTTTCATGTTAGCTGTTATGACACAAGTGTCATACGGATCATGTGCTGTCTGGGGGAAGGCCTTGGCCTGCAAAATCCACACCACAACCAGTTGCTTCAGGGCCGGAAGACCAGAACAGCATAGACCACCTGATCTGTGGTGTCAAACACAACCTTATATCAACAGTGTGACGTACCCAAAATTCCTATCTCGATGCTACCCAGAGACCATACAAAGTACCACACTTCTGGCCGACTTGCTGAGTTTCAATACTACTGAAAAAAAGCAAGAGTAAAAACTCAGTGAGTCAATGTTTCCTTTTCTAAGTACATGCAGTAACATCAGCCATATCTGTTCAGTTTGGCAACTGTTACAGAAAGGAGCTTAAGTGAGAAGATTGTGCGACGTGGGCAAAGGAAGCCAGGAAGTGTGGCCAAACCAACTGTTCCTCCTCACACAAAGAGGGAAAAGAGCAAGAACCAACAAGGGGATCCTGTCTGTGCTTCCCAAAAGCCAGAATAAGCTCCCATTCAAGGCTCCAGAGACACAAAGGCTTTGCAAGAGGCATACCAGGAAAAGTGACCAGGCCAACTGCAGGCATCTACCAGGAGCCTAGGAGAGTAGGAAGTTGGGAACTGAGCCTTTATTTTGCAATAACCAGCAGGGAGTGGGACACTGGGCATCCTATGGCAGCCAGACACAGCATAGGACCTTGTCAAGTGCTAACTCCCAGCAGGGTGCACAAGCAGACATCCACTGGAAGAGGACTAAGGCAGTTCAGAGTCTCCCCAGCCCCATTAGCACTGCTTAAATCACTGTGTATGCCCAGAAGCCACAAATAAATGACTACTGGTGCACAACAGCTAAGTGGCACAGTGCTAGAGAAGGCTCTGTGCTCCCAATGGGTTGATCTTGCTGTGCCAAAGCAGCCCAAAATACACATCTTTATTCCAGTTTGGATCTCCTAGGTAGAATGTGAGAACCCTGAAAAGAAACCACAAATCAGCTGGAAGCATGAAGCTGCACAGCCCACTCTTCTGCTTATTCCCTGTCACCTCTTTTCTCAGTACCCGGAGCAAGGTCTCACAGCTTCCCCTCTCCTTGCATCAGCTCCCACAGACGAGACATGCATTTATCCCCTTCTCTTCCCAGAGGGGATCTTTTGACGTGGGCTATGGCATAGGGCAAATGTGCTGAAACTTCTACTTGCCTTCTCCTCTACAAAATGAGGAGAAAGGTTCTTCTCCCTCCATGGTCCTTCCAGAGGTGTACTTAGAAAACAGTCCATCCCACAGAAAGGTGCAGGGCTCTCACTTCCTGTGGCAAAGAAAGCTGATTATGTATCTTAACTGGTTTCCTATGGTTTCAAAATAGGAAAAGGTTCTGTGAACACCTGATCTAGTCCTTCCTGATCACAGAATATTTTGCCCAGAATTCTTTAGCTCCTCCAGAATTCCCTGATTCTCCAGCATTTCCTATCCTACTATGCTCACCTGTAAATATTTGCTTTGTGAAAACAGCATGATACATTCCTCAGGCACGAATCACCTGCTGTGGGTCGAGAGCTTTTTAGATGATGCATTGTTACCTCTTATACAACAGCACTGGACTAAGTCCAGTTAAGGCTGATGGCATTAACTTGCCCAGAACTGCTGAGCTGCAGTGACACCAGTGCAGCTATGCTAAAGACCTGGCACAGAGAAGGCAAGACAGGGCATGTCACCAGTCCCTCCTCGCACTCCTGGGACATGCCTGCTGATCTCTGAAGGTGGTTCCTGCCTTCCCTGCTGGCATAAATGCTAGTGTGGGGGTGGCAATCTTCTTTACAGAGGAGAATATCCTGGAGATTAAAGAAAGAAGCAGAAAGGAAATAGCCCACATACAGGAAAAGGAAAGATTTACCTGAAGGGGAGTGAGACACATATAAAACAGGCAACAAAGTATAATGACTTTAATTAAACTGGTTAGTGAAGTAGCTACAATGACCTACATTTAATCTGTTTCTATAAAATTTATCTTAATTTTCTACATCATGTCTGCATCTTCAGCAGAGAGCTTTTTATTTTATTTTTTTTTTTATTAACTGGGTCAATTTTAGCTAACCTTGACAGAAGGTAGCCATCTTCAAAATATTACACTTCTCCATGTGCAATGAAAACAGGAAGCATGCCCATGAGCAGAGTGTCTCTGCATTGTTAAAAAATGCAGTAAGACCTCCATTATAGCCTGGTATCAGAGAATCCACTCCCTACCCAAGTGCATTCTCAGCGGAGCTCCTGCTGTAATTCAGATAAACAGTAAATCAGATTTGCAAAAAATTTTCATTGGAAACCAAGATCCACTACTTTCTACTGCTTACAGAAGTATTTCTTGTTAATATGATTACTCTGGTCGAGTCATTCCAAACAAGAGAACTTTATCACATGGCCCCAAATGGTATCACAAGACCTTTAACTATCTGGTGCCCACAGTCCTACGCCTTTTCTAACATTCTATATGAAACAAAACAGGCAAGCGAGTATACTGAGACAAATCCTATGTTTGTGAGTCACAACTTTAACTGCATTATTCCTTTGCGTAGCGTGAACATGGTATGTTTTATAAAAGCAGATACTGACTGATAACTGCAAGGCACACTGTGGGGGAAACAGCCCCAAACAACCTACCTGGTCATCCAGTTGGCTACAAGACACACTGACAAAAGACACTGAATGTGAACCAAAGGCAAAGGAAGAACAGGGAAAAGAAAGTCCCTAACTCTTAGAACTGTAACAGCACTGATTTAGTTAAATAATTTCATTCCAGTAATTGTCTGAAAAAAATACTTTGTACTTTGTTGTTGCAGCAAACATAGAGCCCCAGTGAAACTCACGGCAGCTGTGCTGCAGCTTTTCTCAGTTTGTATCATGCAGGCACATACAGCTGCACATCCATAAAGCTGAAGAACTATTTTCTGGAATTAAGGGTCTGAGGTATAAAAAAGACAGCATGATTCTTCTTTTTACAAGGCAACTCAACTCTGTGCTTTAACACTACATACAAAGGTACGTGATTGATAAAAACATACACTGGACTACATTAAATATGAGGATTAAAAGCAAAAGGCAGGCACAGCCTGAAAGACAGCTACGATTTCCATTCCGGTAAGTGAAATTTTCTTTTTAAATTAATCATTCCCCCTCATTTTCTATACCAACAAACCTTCACATTTCAGTGACAAAAACATGGTTTGGAAATATAAACAACTAGCAATAAAAGGCATCTCGCAGAAAACACATGTCCAGAAAAACAAATTCTCAGAGTACCATAATGTAGCAAAGAGAGTAACTAGATGAAGTGCATAAAAACATTCACATTTCGCAAATGCTTGGCAGAGAAGGAGTATATTTATAGTTAAGGACTCCTTACAGTAAAGCCTTTTTGTGAGAAGGCTCGTATGCTCTCAGAATATTTGCATTTTACAGCATAAGAACACAAACTAATGACATTAATAAAATACTGCTTGTACCCTTAACCTGACAAAAGAGACTGACACAAAAGAATCAGTAAAGTTTTAAAAGTTTTTTTGCACAGTCTTCCCTATTCTATGGACAATTGACCTATATTCCACCCCTATTCCTTGTATTTGCAAACTCTTTTTAGAAAATGCTCAAAACCAGGCAACAGACAAGAGTACACAGTGGCACGATAAGAACTCCATGAGACAGAGTTAATTTTTAACCTTAAATGGGCAAAGTTGGCACCCTAACAATTTTTTTTTTAATGCTGCACCTACCAAATTGGATCTCCTCTCTAACACCTGGCTTGAAACCTTTTTAAACCATACACTGTATTTTGCCAAACAGGACAGCTGCGTCAGACCAGGGACACAGATCCCTGACATAGAGAATAGTGTTTTGTTTCTGATATTCCTCCACATCAATAACTGTTGAACAACATGAACTCAAATGACCACTTTCTGCAAACAAC